TCCAATTCTGTGAGTGTTCGAAGGCGGGGTTCTTAGCCACCTCTGCAAATGCATCTTTAGAGCAGAGAAGAGCCTCGTGGGCTCTCCTCCCATTGGGACCATTCTCCTTAGTGTGGGAACACGCAGTCCAGGGAGGCTAAGCCCTTGAGGAAGAGCCACGTCTAACGCCACGTGTCCCGCCTCCGTGCCAGCAGCTCTGTCCAGGACGCCACATAGACTCGCCCTGGGCGTGTCTCTGGAAGCGAGTCCGAAGCTGCTGTCTCTGTCCTGGAACCCTCAGCCCCGCTCCCCCTCGGAAGCAATGCAGCCTGTGTGCTGAGGCCTGAGACCCGCCCTGGGGATGCTCAGCTTGCCCCCCCCCCGTTCCCCACATGTCGGCTCTTGGCAGGCGGCTTCGCGGTCACAGAGTGACTGGGGAGCGGTCCCTCGTCCTGCGTGCGCACACAGCCCTGGGCTGTGGGAGCCTGTCTGCTGAATTTCCTTCACTCTCCCAGGGAGGTCAGTGTCCTTAGCCCTTTCATGGAGGAAGAAGCGGAGGGTCAGAGGGTAAGGACCCGCCCCACGCACAGCTGGGGGGGAGGGGGCAGGACGGAGCTGCCAATGCCGCGCTGAGCCCGGGCCCCTCCGCCCGGGCCCCTCCGCGGCCTTATTCCCCGAGCGGTGAACAGACTTCCTTCACTCGGGCGGTGGCAGATCCCCCTTCACGCCCACGAGCTCGCATATAGCCTCTTGGACTGGTGCCAGGTCTTCTGGGGAGAGCAGGGTGGCGTTAGGGTGTCACCAGGCAACGAGCCCATCACCACAGCGAACGCGCAGGGTGCAGAGCCTTAGAAGTGAAGACCATCTCCCGCCGAAGTGCCACGTCACAGTAGCTGTACATGTCACCATGGGCCTCGGGGTCCCCTGCCCAGCCACATGTCACTGCTTAGGGGCATACGGCAGCTACAAGCATTAGCCAAGGTTTTAAACCCAGTGCCCTGCTTGCCTGGTTTGTAGCCTTTAACGATTACCCTAGCGGCTGGCTTTGGTGGCCTGTGTGACCCTGAGCTTCCTGGGGCGAAACGAGGGTAATTCCGGGAGCTGTGAACCCAGCAGGATAGTTCTGGCACTCACGCTGGCGGAGTGACTGAAAAGCCAGCGATTTTCGTGCATTGCCCAGACATCTCACGGGGAACGGAAAGGCATGACTCTGAAAACCTATCCACGGGCACCGCCTAACGGAACGCACCCTCCCGAAATGCTCCTTGGGCTCTGCCCTTTACTCGGTGCCCACTGCACACCCATTACTGCCAGGCGCTGCGTCGATGTCACCTTTCCGCCTCTCCCGTCCTGGGTGATGGGAGATGAAACTGAAGCTGTCCGAGATTAAGCGGCTTCCCTAAGATCAACGCTGTCCCTGCTGAGGCCTTTCGGATCTCTGCACAAGGAAGCGAGGTTGCTGAAGAAATCTCCTGTGCAAAGTAACTCGGACGCTCCTGAAAGTGGCCGTGGTTGGTGACCCGGAAATCCCTGTGCAGAGGGACAGCTGCTGCAGAGAGCCTGCCTGGCCCCCTTCGTGACGCGCTTAGTCTGCACGGACCCGGTCGGGAGGCTGTGCCGACAAACCCGGGTGTGGAAAGCAAAGCGCTGTGCTTCAAGACACGAAGCTGGCCCCCAGCCACCAGCCGAGTTCAGAGAGCACCGCCCCCCCCCAGGCCTGGCCCGAGCCTGCTGTGCGATGTGGATCTGGGGCAGCATTTGTCACTTGATTCAAAGCCACGGGCTCCGCCGTGCACACCAGGTGCCCGCTTCCCTGGGCTGCTCCTAATGAGGTGAAATTCTGTACAAAGCTGGCGCCTCTGTGCTAAGTCGGGGTGCGGGAATTGATTTTACCTGGCTTCGGAGCAGTCTTACTCTTCTCAAACTCTAGAACGTTTTCCAAGGAAAACTCCGTTGGTATTTTAACTTGGCCGCAAATTGCTTCATGTTATGTAATGACTCTAATAATCTCCATAAAGCAAAGTGTGTGTCTTGTTTTTCACCCTGAGAGGCCACAAAAGCACCGACCTCCCAGCCCAGAGTGTGCGCCTCGGACAACTGTGGGGTCCCTCCTCCTCAGGCGACAGCCTCACAGCGTGCCCTCAGCTGCCGTGCTCAGGGAAGCCAAAGGTTAAGTAGGCGGCTTTGCGGGCTGGTCGAAACTGGACACAGTGGGAGTGATCACACCAAGGAAATACGGAAATGCTCCTCCCCCACCCCCGGAGCCAGCAGTTAGAAATGCAGCAGCACACCTGTGCCCCCACCCTGAGCCTCTGCGGGACCCAGACACAGGACAGGGACAGAGGCGGCGCTTGCCTCTGAGTCTGGTGTCTCCCATGCTCTGGCTTGGATCAGCGTAGTGGAATAGGAATTTTGGTCGAATTAATGGCCCTGGGCATTAAGCGAGAGGCGTCACCTTCAAGGGGGGCCTGGAGCTGCTTTGTCATCATCTGAGTCCAGAGGGCTCCGGACCTGCCGTTCTGCCCTGAGCCTGTCCTGTGCAGGCCTCCCCTGAACTCAGGAGTGATTTGAAGGTGAAGTCGTCCCTTGCCTTGAGCTGTGGCGCCTGGCCCTCAGGTGCTCGGGAGCCAGGTGTGCTGCCTTGTCTGGGCGCGGCAGGGCACAGGTCTTTTTGTGGTGATGGAGATGGCCTATAGCCAGTGGCTTCTGGACACTCGACATGTGTCCAGGACGACGGAGGAAATGAGTTCTCCCCTGCAATGCGTGTGAGTTCAAACTTCAAAGGCCAAACACGCAGCCAACGCGGGTCTCTTCAGCGGCGCCTGGTGCCTGGCGTCGGACTAAACACATCAGAAGGCCACCCCGCATCACCCGCCCCCCGCCCCGGCTGCAGGACGGTGATGACCTCCGACGTACAGGTGAACAAATGAGGTGCGCAGAGGGGCCGCCCTCGGCCCAGTCCGTGGAGCCCGGACTCCCACCTGGACGCGTCTTGCTGATCTCAGAACCGCTCCCTGGACTGACCCAGCCCCAGAGGCGCCTGCAAAAACGAACCTCCACACTTGTTGTCTGCATGTGAGAAGCAGCCTGCATACACAGGCTGGGTTCTCCCTTCGCGGGGGAGTTCACGCGTGGGCTGTCTTTGCAAGACTTATCTGGGCACGTAGAAATGCACGTGTGCATGGCACTGTATGCATTTGGCTTTATACAGTGAGGTGGATTCTATGTCACCGCTGGTCATGTTGCTTCTCTGTCTTGCTGTCCGATGTGAGTCACTACCAGCGACAGAGTGACCAGGGCCCTGTCTTGGCTTGTAATTTTTGCGCGGGAATGTGGTGAACTGATCAAGACCCTGTGGAGCCCCCGCGCCCGCCCCTTTAGGATTAGCTTTGGGTTACATACGTGCCCGTCTGAATGACTGAAATGGGATGGAAATGGAGACGTCAAAACATTCCTTAAGGTCAGGTTACTGTTAAGGTCCTGTCAGGCGGTGACTGGCTAGAAACTCGTTTTGCTTGGGACTGTGGACTGCAAAGCACTAGAATTAACTCCTTTCGTAGCTGGGCCACCTGCACTGAGCCGGCAACGCCAGAAGCGAGGGCAGAGCCTGCGCCTGGCGCCATGCCGCGGGGGGCCGGGGTTGGCCTCACCTGCTCCGTGCGGTGCCCCGGCTGCCCCCCGCCCCCGGGGCTGCGCTCCACCCACAGCCGCCGCGGGGGTGCTGGGCCTGGGGCTCTGCTGCCCTCACGGTGCGTTTCCTGGCCGGCCACCGGCTCTCTCCACCGGGGCTTGGGGCCCATGGGGTAGTGTGCTGATCAAAGCAGGCAGCAGGGCGCTGGCCCCCACGCGCCATCCAGCCCATGGGCTGCAGGGACCTGGACAGTTGCGCCATGGGATGGGGACGGGAAGGCCTGGCTGCGCTGACAGAGGCTGGCGAGCCCTGGGGGCTGTTTCGGAGGCTTGGAACCCGGCAGAGCGGGGCGGGCCGCTGGTGACAGGCGACGCGCAGGAGCCTGCCCGGCCAAGGGGCTGAAGACCGACCGCCACATCCTAGCTTTAAGTCATTCGTTTCCCCATTTGCTGCTGCACAACGTCACGTTCAAAACCATAGGAAAGAAAGTTCAGCCTTCTGTTCCCGGGGCTAGACTGTGGCTGTGGTGAGCTGGGTGATTCTCCTCTACAGCCCAGGCGGACACACAGGGCAGCCCGTGGGGAGACGCTCCCCGCGCCCCCACCCGCCGCCTCCGATCGCAGGGGCAGAGGGCTGGTCTGGGGACGGGCTGCCTTCCATAGGTCCCAGGTCAGGACAGGAAAACACACCGTTTACTGTCGGAAACCCACACAGCCCCGAGACCCGGCGCTGTACCAATTACGGGCTGTGAGTGAGTCAGCGTTGGCTTTTCAAAATGCCATGGGCATTCCTTCTTCCCTCCCCTGTAGGAGGGTTCCCAAGAGGCCACCGCTTCTCATGGAGATGAGCTGTTTTGGACCGGCATAGTTCTTATACTTCATCAGTATCTTAACCAGGGCTGTCCAACCTTTTGGTGTCTCTGGGCCACACAGAAGAAGGGTTGTCTTGGGCCACACAGTAAATACATTGTGACACGTAATCACAAAAAAACTCAATGTTTTAAGTGAATTTATGATTTTGCATTAGGCCATATTCATTGTCACCCGGCCCGCCTGTGGCCTGCGCGCCACCGGTTGGACACCCCTGTCCTATACCTTTAGTCCTCAGACATGAAAATAAAAGTGCCATCACCTCATTCAAACTACAGGTGTGGTTTGAATCCCAGGCTAGGCAGCCGAGGGCTGACCTGCAAGTCATCTCGAAGGCCCTCCTGTGGCGGGTGGGGTCTGGCATCAGGGAGCCCCCTGAGACTCTCAGGGCTGGCTCTGCGCTCAGTCTGCGCACGGAAAGGGAGGCTCTAGTCTCATGACAGGCCTGGGCTGGGGCACTACAGACGGACCCAGGGAGATGAGCCCGCAGAGCGTCATCGGAGACGAGGGGGCATACATACCCTTCCCGGTGGGCCTCTCCTTTCTCCAACTCCTGGATGACCCCCAAGAGCACTTTGATGGTTTCTTGGCTGGAGCTGATCAAGTTCTCCATCACCTGAAGCTGTGCTTTGAGGTCCACCACTTCCGTACGAGGCACGATTTGTTGGCATTCCTCACCCATAGCGACCGCTGTCGGACAAGGCTGGTGCTCTGGCCCCGCGGGGGCCTCAGTCTGCGGGGGCTGGTCACTACGTGCGGGGGACAGGCACTGCGTCGGGGGCGCCTGGAGCCCATTGGGATGGGCGGCCCTGCTCCGCTCCTCGGCGGCCGCGGGGCCCAGGGACCCCTCGCTCCCAGTGGCAGAGTTCGACAAGGCAGGCTCGGGGGCCTTGGTGCCAGCAGCAGGTGCGTACACGGTGGCCACCTCCGTCTTAAACACCCTGCCGTGGGCCGCGGGAGCGGCTTCCTCCGTGTCTGGGGAGGCCCTGCCCTGCCTCACTGCCCCGTGCAGCGGGTGGTCGGGCTCGCGGTGAGGGGGCCGGGCGGCGTTTTGGGGCAGCGCTTCCGGGCAGCTGTGCGCGCCGGGGTTTCTGCAGGGCTCAGCGCAGTTGGCCCCGGCGGGCCGCTCCGGGGCGTTCACGTGTTCGTGGGAGCGGAACACCAGCGCCGCCGTCGTCTGCACCCGGCCCGCAGCCCACGGCCGGGCCTCCTCCCCGGGCCCTTCCTCGCTCTTCTCTTTCGCATCTACGACAAACCCGTTGTTCTGACTCTTAAAGGCCTCCGCGGCGGCGGGGACGCTCCGGGCGGTCCCCTTTTTGCGGTCCAGAGGGAAAGTCTGGTAACACTTCTTCAGGTCTGGCGAGGTCTGCACGCCTGTGCTCTTGGTGACGTTGGGGATGGACCTCCGCGCGGGCACCGTCATGTACTTGCGGTAGGCCGCACGGTGGGACGGGGGCCTGGCCTCCCGCTTCTCGGCCCCGGGCCCCACGGGCAGCTGCGCATCCCGCTGCTCGCTCTGCGCCTCGCAGATGTCCTTAAACCGGACCTGCAGGGCTTTGTTCCGCTTCTTGATCTGCCGGTTGGGGTCCAGGGCGTATTTCATCTCGAGGGCCAGGCAGGCGGCGGGTTCCACGTCGCTCTCTGACGTCGTGAGCACGCATTGGCCGGCGTCCTTACTGACCATGGTTCCTGCATTTGGAAACATCAACAGAGGCATCAGGGCACAGACACGCACGCGCCAGCCCGGCGGCCCCCGCACCCTGGAGCCCCAGGGGTGCCTGCCTGCTTCCTAATTACTGTTCAACAGGCGAGGCCTCCTGTACGTGAGGGAAGATCGGACAGGCAGAGCGTCGCCGGCGGGCACGGCTGGAAGTGCTGCTCAGACATGAAAGCGTGCTTCCTTGTCCATGTGGGATACCCTAGTTTTTCTTTTGATCGCCATGCACGTTTCCCCCTTAGACAAACCTGTTTTACTACATTCATCAAGGAACCCGGCGATGCGGCCGCCTCGGCTTGCAAATGATCATTTCACGCACGTCTCCGCTCCCCAGGCAGGTGGTTTTCTGAGTGCGATTTATCTGGTTTGGGTTTTTACTATTTTTTGAGGATGACGTGATTAACCTATTACGGGAATGCAAGAGAACTGCTGTTTTCTCTTAACGAGTTCTTGGAGAGTCGAGCTCCCGGTCAGGTAAAGGCGGAGAGCCCTAGGAGAGGAACTGAAGACGTCTGTCTGGGTCAGACGCGCTGGCTGCCGCGGGACAGCAGGCCACGCACTAGACGGGGAAGCCACGCGGGGTGGCTTGTTGAGGGGCGGCTTATGTCCAGCGGGTCAATGGCGACTGTAACAGGAACACAGGTTTCCCTGCGTTCCCAAAGGCAGAGCTAACAACTCTTCTCTTTGATTCCCTCAAGAGAGGTATTTGAAAGTACTTTTTAAAGAAATGATTCACTTTGGAATCAGGTGTTGTGTTTTGACCACAACCCCTGAATACGGAAACAATGGTGGTGGTTTCAGTATGTAAATCCTGCAAGAAAATAAAATCATGGGGCTTTGTGTGTGTTCATCAGGCAGATTCATCTTGGGCGGCGTTATTAAAGGCAACTAGAAAGATGCAGGTGGCCAAGGACTCCTCTCGGGGCCGGCAGCGGGGTAAAGGCCGTCCCTCTGCGGGGCAGGTTCCCAGCTCTTTATGGCCGATGGAAGAATTTCCTTGGGGGTTGGACTCAAAGCGAGAAATAGAGAAAGTGTATAGTTGTTGAGTGAGCGTTCGCTTTTCCGCCCTGCGTGTCCCAGAAGAAGACGGGAGACCCCTGGCGTGTGCGAGACCCTGGCGTCAGTGCATGGCGCCCAGAGAGGCGAGGGGATGAGGCCAGGCCTGGGCCGCAGGCCTGCAGGGCGGCCCCCGGACGTCTCAGCGCACATCTGGAAATGCCGCCAGAACGGGGACGCCTGGGGCGGCCGCTCCAGGAGGGTGTGTGGACCGCCAGGGGCTCGGGCACGTGAGGACGTCCCCTGTCACCTTCGGTGCCACGAGACCCGTACCCAGGAGGAAGCCGGCCCGGAGAGGTCAGGTCGCCTGTTCACTGCCGCGCAGCAAGTAAGACAAAGAGGCAGGGGCGGGGCCCTGGGCTGCCTGGGCCCCCCCGTCCACCAGTCCACCAAACAGAGAGGCAGGACACGTCCCCACATGCTTAGCGGCTTCTGAGACAGGCTTGCAGGCCAACAGGTATGGCGGTTCAGCCAAGGGGAAGCGGGGAGAGGCCGAGAGCCCACGCCCCAGAGCGCGCCTCCGAATGGCCCTCCCGCAGGCTGGGGGTGCCGGCACATTCACCTGGGCCCTCAGGCCAGCAGGGCGCCGGCACGCAGCCGGCCCTCAGCAGTGCTGTTGTGCAAAAGGCTTAGCGGGAACGTCGCCGAGCACAGTGAGCTGCCCATCGCCTTAGAGGGTGTCAGAGTCGTCTCTGCGGAGTCTGGTTTAGACTAGACCTTGCTTCTCGGCCTGGGCACGCCTGGCCCCTCAGGCCGGGTAACACTCTGGGCAGTGGGGAGCATGTCGCAGCATCCTGGCTTCTGCCTTCTTGGTCCAAGTGGTCCCCCGTCCCCGGTGTGACAGCTAGAAGTGTCTCCCGACACTGCCACGTGACCCTAGGGGCACAGCCACCCCCCTGCTGAGCACCTCCACATTAGACCTTTCACCCTTGGGTGGCCAGTGTGTGATGTGAACGGTAAGGCTCGGGAGAAAGCAGTGAAACACCAGGAACCACTGGCAGGTCCCCACCTCCCGGGGGGGCGGGGGGCAGGGGCATCCAGAAGGTGCCGGATCTGCAGCCCCGTCTGGAAAAGCCCCCGCCTGTGCGGAGCCGGCAGCAGGCGCACCCTCAGCCCATGGAAGCCTCTGTGTGTCTGCTGGCAAAACGGTGACTCCGGGACAGTCACCTGGTTGGGGGGCGGTGGGGGGGTCTGTCGGCGGAAGTCAGGGGACAGGCTTCTTTGGTCTTTGATGCATCGCTAGGTGCTGAGGGTACGTGAGACCTTTGCAATGTGCAACTTAAAAACAAACTGAGCAGTCACGTAGAGAAACAAAAAGGCGCAGACCGGAGCTGTAGCCACATGCCGCTGCGTTCTGGGAGGACTGGGTTATGAGTAGTGGGTAGGACAGAGCATGCCTGCTGAGGACGGATAATAGCTGTCTTTCAGAGACACTTACCCCCACAGGTTACAAAGATGCGCACAAAAGACCCGGCGTGGCGGGGAGAGTGGGAGACGGAGGGCGTGTGACGAGAGAATGGCACCCTGACCCCCGCGCGCTCTCACTCCTCCGCACCCTTTCCTGCCTTTGTTGTCCGCGTGTGTCAGCACGTATGTGGCGCCTTTCTGCCGAAGACTGTCATGCGCGGGGAAATTGGAAAGGGAGAGCATTTTTACAAAAAGCAATTTACTAGTAATTTTTCAGCCTTTTCCCTGCCACTGCTGAAAAATGTGTGTCTGAATAAGTTTGTTCTACAATGCTATTCATCATCACGCTTTGCCAGGAACTGCACCGAAATAATTTTCTTACATCCGTCTGCCGGTGTGAAAGATATTCTGAGTCTTGGAGCCAACCATCAAACTAATAAAACAAATCAGAAAAATTAATTGCCAGTGGCAACGTAATAATAATAAAAAAAAATTCCTCAGCTCTTCTCTGTTTTACGGGGAGCTGCTAATTATATAAAAATCATTTCCTTGTAAGTAAAAATGGCGGTGATAAATAGGAATTTTGATGAGTTCAGTTGGTTGTCACTGAATCTTTAAGGGAGAGCGACCGAGTTGTCCCACCTGCACGGGTAGGGAAGACACCATGGAGTTTTTGCGGGTGACTTGCTCGGACTTCAGAGAAGGTTGAGTCCCTTCTGGCAGCTGGATGACCTTTTTCTAAAGCCTTACGATAGGATTTTGCTGGCCATTAAGAGTTCCTTTCATGTGAAGGCAGGCACTTCCTTCCCAATAAGAAAGTGATTTCGTCATGAAAGAAAATGGGGCATTTTGTAGGTGAGAGTCCATGAGACACGTGGAAACGTGTGGCCCACATGTTCATGCCGACGAGTGCACGCATGTTCCAGGTGACGTCATTCAGGCCACATGCTCTGTGTCCCAACCTGATGCCGCATCCTCCACTTCATCCCCCTTTCACCTTCCCCGCGACCCGCACAGCCATGTCCTAGGCGACATCCTGTTCTTCTCAAGTCACTGACTGAGAGGCTGAGACACATAAATCCCATGCGTGACACCCCCATCCCCGTCCTGGGAAAGGCATAACCTGCCACGAGCCACGACGAATTTCCAAAAGCATCTGACAGCGGGCAGTTCCCTGGCCCTTCAGCACACAGTCCTGGGTGGGGTGCAGGATGCGCAGAGCCCCTCCGGGTGGGTCCCGGGACCACACTGGGCCAGGAGTGCGGACGCAGGGCCGGCTGCCTGCGGTGCCGGACCCTGGCCGAAACTGGCCCGGCTTCGCCAGCCTCGGCCTGTGCCCCATCCTGAAGTTAATCTCATGGCTCTAAGGCAGCAGGAGCCCATGAAGCTTATTTTCGTATGAAAATTGTGTTTTGGAATTCACTGGACTGTGCTGTTTAGAGGTGAAAATGGCCATTCACGGCTGTGCCTCCCTGGCCCAGGGAGTGCTGGGTGGCGGGGAGCCGCTTGGAATGTAAATGTCTTAATTTCCTTCAAATTAAATTTCATAATCAAGTGTGAGTTGTAAACAGATAAACCCTGCACTTTTAGACTAGTGATGGAGACCGTCTCTGCGTGCCGCTTTAAATTAATAGCTTATATAATAAACACATTTATTCCAGCTATAAAGGAGTGAAGCGGAGAAGCCGCAGGATGCCTAGCGATAGGGAAACGGCTCGTAAACTATGGTCCGCGGCCACGAGGCGGTCACTGTGAGGCTTGCTTGGTGTCACAGAAAAATCACTCACGAAAACCGAGCTAAGTGAAAGAGGGCGGTCCCCTGAATCACATCGGAAGACAGGGAACACGCACGGTCCTCGCCAGTTAGGGCAGAGTGCTTCGGGAGGCTGAGTCCCCCTCCGGTGCCCAGAACGAGGACTCGTAGCGGCTGCTCTGCCGTGTGCCAATGACAAGAACATGGGACAAAGTCTGAACACACCTGAGGCAGGATGCAGGCGCGGGCCCGCTCCTGTATCAGAACGCGGCACCCCTGAAATCAGGAGCTGTGGGGAGGAGTGGTCGCCCCAAGTCACCTTGTATTATTTTGAGGAAGCCTGAAATGAAGTCATGAATTTCAAAGTATTCTGAAGTTGTGTCTGCATGCGTCATGTGCACAGGTGTGCACATCTGTGCGTGTGTGCTTGCGTATGCAGGTGGGCGTGCACAGGCTAGGCGAGCCAGCGGGTGTTAATGGAAGAAGTATATGCTGCTGGGATGGAGCTTCCGTCTGTCTCCATTAAAAATAAGGTGGACTTGACCTAGCACCTGCCTTGGTCGTCTGACGGGCACGCTGTGGAATGCCTGCCGCCGATGCAGGAAGTCCGTGGGTTCGCTCCGTCGTTCATGTGCCGGCACATATGGAGGGGGCCCGGGGTGGCCTTCTGCTGGGGTCCAAGGGGCAGGATGCAGTCGACTGGTGGTGGGGGCTGGTGAGTGGCACGGCCTGGCCACACCGCCCGGCGGCCCATCCCTCCGTGGCGACAGGC